CCACCTTAGCCTCCCAGGTAGTTGGGATTACAGGTGCATGCCACCACACTTGGCTAATTTTTTGTATTTTTTAAGAGACAGGTTTTTGCCATGTTGCCTAGGCTGCCGGCTAACTTTTTATGTTTTTGTAGGGACAAGTTCTTGCTATGTTGCCCAGGCTGGAGTATGCGTTTTTGATCCAGATTATTATACTAGATGCCTTTAGTATGAATAAAACAATTTGTAACTACTTTAAAACATTCTAAAAGATAAAGATGCTGCTGCATATCAGGTATAAAACCTTTTTTTGAGCTGGGTGTGGTGGCTCATGCCTATAATCCCAGCACTTTGGGAGGTCGTGGCAGGTGGATCACTTCAGGTCAGGGGTTCAAGACGAGTCTCGAACTGGTCTCAAACGGCAAACATCATGAAATCCTGTCTCTACTAAAAATACAAAAATTAGCCAGGTGTGGTGGTGCATACCTATAATCCCAGCTACTTGGGAGGCTAAGTCATGAAAATCTTTTGAACCCACGAGGCAGAGGTTGCGGTGAGCCAATATTGCAGCATTGCACTCCAGCCTGGGTGACAGCAAGACTCCATCTCAAAATGAAACCAAAGTAAACCTTTTCTTTGGTACTGAAAAACAAAAAACAACCTCTGGTTACTGCCTCATTGCTCTGTTCTTCTTCAGAGAGTTGTCTATTCTTCCTCTTCCTGTTTTTCTTCTTTCATTTTCATCTTAATCTGTGCTGAACATGCTATAGCCTCCATCATTCCGTTTAAAAAGCCTCCCATTGGCTGACCTCTATCTTGTCAAATCCATCTTACTTGATCCCTTAGCAACATTTGATAGAGCTGATGCCTCTCTTTCTTGAAATGCTTCCTTCACTTGGCTTTTGGAAAACCACACCTGCTCAGTTTCCTCATACCTCACTCTTTCTTCTTTGCTGGTTCTTCCTCCTCTTTCCAAGTTCTACATGTTGCATTGCCCTGGGCCTATCCCTTGGCCTTGTTCTCCTTTCTAGCTTCATTCTTTGCTTAGGTGATAGTATGGAATCTCATGTCTCTATGTATGCTCTATAGCAGCATGTTTGTTGATGAGTTCAACATTTTTATCTTCAGCTCTCTCCCTTCCCTGAGTACCAGGCTTGTATCTGCTTGACAGTTCTCTTTGCATATTTAATACACATCTTCTCCAGACCCAGATCTGTTCCTTCCCCAGCCTTCTTTATTTCAGCAAGTGAATCATTCATCTAGTTGCTCAGGCTAAGTCATCCTTGACTTCTTTCCCATATCTTACATTTCCTCTATAAGTTCTATTTGATCCATCTTTCAAACAGATGCAGAATTCGACCACTTCCCCCATCTTCCACTACTATTTAATACCAATCAAGTCCAAGCAAGTCTCCTAACTGGCATCTCTGCTTCTATTCCTTATCCCACTATAGACACTTCTTCATAAACAGACAGAGTAAGCTCTTAAAAGCATAAATCAGGTCTTGTGCTCCCTTGTACAGAAATACTTCAGTGGTTTGCATTTTTCCTTGTGATATGATCCTAAATCCCTCCTGTTTCCAAAAGATTCATGACTTTATCCTTGCCTTGCTCTCTGATCCCACGTTCTGTGACTCTCTCCCTGTCTCTCCTCTGGGCACACTGGCCTTTTGATGTTTACCTCTTATCAAGCTTGTTCCCATTTTAGGGCATTTGGACTTAATTTTTTTTTTCTGGAATATACCTTCTCTAGATCATCACAAGGTCTTACTTCCACTGAGTCCATGCTTAAATGTCCATGGTCCATCTAATGACCACCCTCATTTAAATAGTTGCCTTTCTCTGCAGTTCTTGCTCTGCCTCTCCTCCCTCCAAGCAAAAAACTCTGATATAGGCATCATTTGCAGGGTAATTGAATCCTACTATTTTGCTTCACTAATTTTCATCTGAATTTTCGAGCTGTAAATGCTAAATTTGGGTCTCCGTTGACTGCTGGCATCCCAACTATCAAGGGAATTTCTTTGACCATTATAGAGTACACCTTTGTAATGAAATTTGCCACAGGCTGTCACAGCTATGCAAGAGGATTTGGAGAGGTTGTCAACTTTAGTTTTGATTTAGGTAATTGTTTTTAAAAAAAAATGTTGAGAGAGTTTTAATTTAACCTCCTTTATTCTTGACTAAAACAGTCCTCTTTCTGGATTGGTTATTTTTCTTACTCAAGAACTTGGCTTCAAGAGGGATTATATGTATTATGGTAAAGGAGGAAGATAATACCAGCCACATAACCACTCAGATCAGCTGACTGAAACTTAGTGGTTTCTAGGGCATTAGGTATACAGATATCTCATATTTTCCAATTTGAATTCTATATAAGAGAAAGGTATTTATTCTGTAATTCTAGTGTAATATTGAGTGCTCTGTTTTTTATTTTTTCCTCTAGTTTCTGTGGATGTTAGGTGAGTCCTAGTTGCTGTGTGTTTATATAATAGCATCCATTACAAGACAGTTGCTAGTGTCTAAGTAATATGAGAAAGATTTACTTTATATTATGTATATATTTTCTCTTAATCAGGTTGATACTAACAAAGACCGATTGGTGACTCTGGAGGAGTTTTTGAAAGCCACAGAAAAAAAAGAATTCTTGGAGCCAGATAGCTGGGAGGTAATAGAACCTACTCTAAATGAGATGTATTGTTCAACAAAGTCTACATCAGTCCTTTCTACTTTTAACTTTTATTCCCCATTATGTTTTCATGCATAGTCTTAACTACCTTGGGTTTTTCTGTAAATGTCACTATAAAATAATGAACTTGATTTCTTAGAAAGCTTGTGGCAATTTTATTTCTTGTTTATAATCACACTGCATAAAATTAGAAGTCTTTTAAAAATTATACTTTTTTTCAAAGTGTGAAATAGGATTCAGTATTGAATATTAGAAATGTAGATACAGTGAAAGAATAAATGAGAATTCACTCAATTTTACTACTCAGAGATAGACTTTTAAGTTATGCATTGTATTATGTTAATTTGGAATAGTATGCAGTTTGTATATATAGTATATGCACATGTAGCATACAGTATGTAAACAATGTATTTAATTTTAAATTCATACGTATATATTCATATTTATGTATTTAAAAGATGGCTTCATACTATATAAATGACTTTGTATGTTGATGAAATACTTTTTAAAATTTAACAATATTTCACAAACACTTTTTAATGTCATTCTTCAAAAACATGATTTGAAAAATGACTACTTAACATGCAGTTATATGGCTGTAGCATAATTTATAAATCCATTTCTCCAGATTTAGACATTTGGGGTAAATTCCAGTATTTAACTGTAATGACACTATGATGACTATCCATTTCTTCACACATTTTTGGGCAATCTATAATGATTTCCCTGGGATTAACTCCCAGGAATAGAACTGTTCTTAAGATTTATGAACATTTTAAAAATTTCTCGTTGTATCTTGCCAAATTGCTCCAGAAAAGTATATCAATTTGTAACACAGTCAACTGTGTATAAATGAGTGCACAGACAGCTTGAAAAGAATAGCTGAGAGGCACCAACCAAAATAGACTGAAGAAAGAACATAGCCTTTTTCTACATAAAAACTAAAAAGATTACTATTTAAATTAAAATTTCAATTGTCCAGAAAATAGTTTGAGAAAGGGTGAGCAACTATTCTAGTTTACCCAGGACTAAGGAATTTCCAAGGATGTGGAACTTTTCATTGCTAATACCAGACATTTCAGGGCAAATTGGGATATTTGGTCCCTTTCGTTTGATATCAGAAAAGTCATCCTCTTTTTGTATTGAAGTTTTTTTGTTTTTTGTTTTTTTTTTTTTGAGATGGAGTCTCAATCTGTCACCAGGCTTGAGTGTAGTGGTGCGATCTCGGCTCACTGCAACCTCTACCTCCTGGGTTCAAGTGATTCCCCTGCCTCAGGGTCCCGAGAAGTTGGGACTACAGGTGCGCACCACCATGCCTGGCTAATTTTTTGTATTTTAGTAGAGACGGGGTTTCACTATGTTGGCCAGAATGGTCTCCCATCTCCTGACCTCGTGATCTGCCCACCTCAGCCTCCCAAAGTGCTAGGATTACAAGTGTGAGCCACTGTACCTGGCCTTGTATTGAGTTTTTGTCTGGAAATATGTCTTGAAATGTGTCTGGACTTTGGTGAAGAAGAAGAATGCTAAGATTATTTGAATATACATCCCCTTTAGCGCATCTGGCAGACTAGATCATAGATAATTACATACTTTTAAAATTTTGACATAATTTCAGATTTAACTACATTTGCTTTATCTTTCTGTTATCCTCCCCCCGTTTTTAATCTGTATGTGTGTGTATATATAACATATAAACATGTAATGTATGTATGTATGTATGTACCTATATATGTATGTGTATATATAAACATATGTGTATATATGCACATATATATATAAAGTTTTGAATTGCTTAGGAGTAAATTGCACATCATAACACTTTAACCTAAAATACTTGAGTGTATATTTCTTGCAAACAGGATTTACCTTATATAATCACAGCAAAATTATCAGTACTACACACATGGGACTCTTTCCCAATCTCTAGACTTATTGAAATTTTGTCAGTTTTCCCAATAATATCCTTTATAACAAAAGCAAATCCAAGATGATACATTGAATTCAGTTGCAATGTTTTTTTAGTCTCCTTTGATCTGAAACAGTTTTTCAGGAGAACAAACTGTTATGTTGTATAATGTCCCTTGAATACCACAGAAGAGGATGCTTAGTGTATCCTATCAGAAGGCACATGTTGATGATCCCCATAACTGGTAATGGTAGCTTTGATAATTTTGTTAAGGTGATGTCTACCATATTTCCATATTTTTCTATGTAAAGCTACTATTTTACCTTTTGTATTTTAAAAAGTATCTTGTCTAGCCCACCATAGTGAGAGAATCAGAAGTCAGCTTTTGTTCTTTTTTTTTTTATTTTATAAATACAGACATGGTCTCACTATATTGCCCAGGTTGGTCGTGAACTCCTAGGCTCAAGCAGTCCTCCTGCCTCAATCTCCCAAAATGTGTCAGCCACTGTGTCTGGACAGAAGTCAGCTTTTTTTTTTTTTTTTTAATAATTTTAGAAAAAAAATTTAAAAGGCACTCCTCGCTCTGTCACCCAGGCTGGAGTGCAGTGATGTGATCTTACCTCACTGCAACCTTTGCCCCCACCCCCACAACCCGCCCAGGCTCAAGCGATCCTCCCACTTCAGGCTCCTGAGTTGCAGAGACCACAGGCGTGTACCACCACTTCTGGATCTTTTTTTGGTATTTGACTAGAGACAGGACCTCTCCACGTTGCCCGGGCTGGTCTCAAACTCCTGAGCTCAAGCAATGCTCGCCTTGGCCTCCCAAAGTACTGGGATTAGAGATGTGAGTCACCATGCCCAGACAGAAGTCAGCTTCAAAAAAAAAATTAATTCAACATCATATTAAAAGTATTTTCACATATTTGTAAGCCTTATTTTAACAGCTGTGGAGGTATATAAACTTTTTTTCGGGTTAGACATTTAGATTACTTTGTTTTTTACTGCTATTTTAAAAAGAAAATGCTGCTACAAATACGTTTTTCTATAAAGCTTTTTCTGTGATTAGGGTTGTTTTATAGGGTAGCTTCTCAATGTAGCATCACCAGGACCCAGGGAATATTTTTAAGGCTGTTTTTAAGGCTAGAACGTCCTGATATACTAAAAGTAAGGAAGTCCCTAAAGAGTGATAAAGACATGTCACAAGGACAGGAAAGCCAGTTTGAAGAAACTCCCAGTGGCCAAATATGGGACAGTTTGAACAGGGAAATAATGAGGATAAGGATTAGAGCTTATTGAATAAAACAAGAAGCCACGAGTCTACACTGATGTAAGTAGAGAGAGAGAGAAGGGTGAATTCTTTTGTAAAATTGCTTTTCAAAAGAATTATACCAATTTATATTTCCACCATTAAAAAATGTGTGTACTCTTTAAATTTATCAGAGCTGGGCATGGTGGTGCCCACCTGTAGGCCCAGCTACTTAGGAGACAGGAGGACCAGTTGAGCCCAGGAGTTTGAGACCAGTCTGGGCAATGTAGCAAGACCCTGTCTCTAAAAATAAAAAAAAAATTTTTTTTAATCTTGTGGGCTTATACTTTGAGAAAATGTGAATGTATTATTATGTCCATTGATGATTCTAGCTAGAATTATTACTGTAATGGTTCACTAATGGAGATTTTCTTTCTCTTTTTTTTTTTTTTTTTTTTTTTTTTTTTTTTTTTTTTTTTTTTTTTTTTTTTTTTTTTTTTTTTTTTTTTTTTTTGAGACGGAGTCACTCTGTTGCCCAGGCTGGAGAGCAATGGCACGATCTCAGCTCACTGCAACCTCTGCCTCCTGGGTTCAAGCCATTCCCCTGCCTCAGCCTCCCAGGTAGCTGAACTACAGGCATGCGCAATCATGCCCGGCTAATTTTGGAATTTTTAGTAGAGATGGGGTTTCATCATGCTGGCCAGGCTGGTCTTGAACTCCTGACCTCAAGTGATCTGCCCACCTTGGCCTCCCAAAGTGTTGGGATTACAGATGTGAGCCACCACACCTGGCCAACAAATGGTGATTTTTCTCATCTGATCATCCCTTCTACATTTGTTAGTTGGCTTTCTACTGTAAGGAAAAGTTATTCCTTCCCCTGACCTTCTGTTTATCAGTGTAGACTCGTGGCCTCTTTTTTTATTCAGTAAGTTCTAATCCTTACCATCATTATTTCCATGCTCAAAATGTCCCAGACTTGGCCAGTGGCAGTTTCTTCAGACTGGCTTTTGTGTCCTTCTGACATGTCTGAATCATTCTTTGGAGACTTCCTTACTTTTAGCATATCAGGATGTTCAAGCCTTATCTTACCCTTTCCCTGACCCAATCTGAAATGAACCATTTTTCTGAAAAGCCCTAGTTCCTTTTAGTGGAGATTGATATTGCAGACCAAGATCTGGGCCCTGGATGTGCTCCTTGCTACTGCAGTGAGACTGCTTCCAAGGTCTTGTCAGATGACAGACCTCGGGAATTAAAATAATATGTATATGTAATATAGATGTGTATGTGTATATGTATATATATATATATACACACATATGTGCACACATACATATACAACACCTGTGCACATTTATATTCATTTTTATATATCAATATATATTAAAACTTATTAAATTTACACTGGTATCTCCAATTGCAATCCCAATACCTCTGATTTTTTTTTTTTAATTTTTTAAAGTTCAAGGCTACGTGTGCAGGTTTGCTATATAGTTTATATATATAAACTTGTGTCATGGGGGTTTGTTGTACAGATTATTTTATTACCCAGGTATTAAGCTCTCATACCCATTAGTTATTTTTCCTGATTCTCCTCTTCCTCCTGCCCTCTGTCTTCCCATAGGCCCCAGTATGTATTGTTCCCCTCTATGTGTCCATGTGTTCTCATCATTTATCTTCCACTTATAAGTGAGAACATGCAGTATTTGGTTTTCTGTTCCTGTATTAGTGTTTGCTAAAGATACTGGCCTCCAGCTTCATCTGTGTTCCTGCAGAGGACATGATCTCGTTCATTTTTATGGCAGCATAGTATTCCATGGTATATACGTA